GAGCTTTCGGTGGCTGCTCGGGATGACTGACGCTAGACTCAGTTGGCATTCTGCCCCCCGCGCGTGGCGGACGCGACGCCATTGCTCTCTCACACAGCTCTCACGGCCGAAGGCACGCCAGACCAAGTCAACCTTCCTATGAACTATTCCTTAAAGTCATTCTGTAAACGATATATTGTTCCTACCACTCTGGCCTTCCAAGACTTCTCTCATCTCCTAAGGAACCGGGCCTGGAAGATCGCAGCCGTTGGGGCTAAACCTTAGTAACCTTAACACCTTGTGATACACCCTCTGCCTATATCACCATTTTCTGCGATTGTCTTCGGGGATGGGTTTAGGTGAACATCTGCAACTTCAGACCAAAAACCTCCTTGTTACAGTGATTGTATCTTCGCCTTCTGATTCATTAACGCTTGATTGAGAATTTGGCCAAGAATACTAAAAAGAGAGCCCCGGCGATTGTTGCATAATCACGATTTTTTTCCTTTGGTTTCGCTAAATATTTCTTGCGTCCTTCGTTTTTACTCATCATACCTCCAGATGGAATGAGGTGAATCCGCCTATGATTTGAGGGTCGTCTGATTTATAGATTAAAGCTGAAACTGAGGCAGCATCCGGAGCTTTTCCACTGAACATCTAGTGAAAACTTTATTCTGCAGGGGCAGGGGGGGGGCTACCGGAGCCAGCCCCGGTTCCCACTAGAGGCAGACTGTTGATGACTTCGATACAAACTAGATAGCAGTTGAGAATGCTCATATAGGGCTCAGCCCAGCTCCCGGGATTTACGATTTTTCCGTCTTTGGAATTGTTCCACATAAGCTGCGTACTGGTTCAGCTGAAGTAGCCTGGAGACCAGAGGCTGTCTTGATATTCGCTAACAACTTCTTTGTTCCTCCTTTTTCTGTGCCTGATCGGATTTCATTTACTTTTACAATCACCTTGTTGTTTTTAACCCCTAGCCTCCGTTACAGGCAACTGAGTGCCCTAGATAATGCAAATTCATCTTCCTCTGTTATACATGACGTCCCCGAGGTTGGACTTGGTAGGAGTCGCTTATGTACTGCCCCTGCGAAGACATCAGAATAGGAACCGCCCGTAATGCAGCTAAATTTAAGCAAAATTCTAGGAAAAACAGGACTAGGGTTAAGCTTGGGATCAGGATTAAGGTGAGGTTAGAGTTAAGGTTATGCTTTAGGGTAGGATAGGTTTAGAGTTGTCATTAGAGTAGCAGTGAAGGTTTAGAGTAGACTTTCTGGAATATTTAGCTTGCGGAAAAACTTAATCCTAGCGACCGCGGGAAACAATTTCGACTACGTTTTTAACACTTCCTTCTAAAAATTTCCTTCTCTGCCTATCCTATTTCTCCATCCCCAGAAACCCTTTAACCACCGTTTTCGTAGGAGAAAATGCTGGGACTAGGGGTTTATGAGTGGGACTACATAAGCTACTTTTACCTCATTTACTTGTCGTCGGTCCGGCAAGTTGAGTACAGTGGAGTTCACCTTGTAACAAACAAATTCTTGGTGACCAGAGAGCGAGCACTACAAGCATTACGAGAGTACTCTGGCGAGAGTGATACAATAATAAAAACGGAGGTTACCGTCTCGGCCAGTATTTTGATTGCATTCTTAACTTCCAGGAGTAACCTTTATCTTTCGGATATTTTAATTGCCAGCATTTATAGGGTGCCTTTTTTTAACCTTTTCCCAAATGGGGGGTATATAGTACTTCCCGTAATAGGCCGCTGAGATATTGCAGGCTGCTGTCGTGTTCCACTATGCAACCCGAATTGGTCTGGACCGCCTGCGCATCTGTATATTAACCACTCTGCAGGACTTTCAGACAGAGACAAAGAACTATTTCAACACGTGCCATAGCACGGCCGATTAGGCATTTTTGTCATGTATACGCAACATCGCTCGCTATCCTTCTCTTCTTTAGTCAACCGATCAAAGTGGGTACCGGAATCTGACCATTGTGTGAAGCGAAACGCCTCGGAATCGCGTATAAGAAAGGGGTGCACTTAGTGGTAAAATGATGATAGCATCACTTTTTATACCCCGTGGGGTTAAACCAGATGCTCGCAATTTGAGCACTCTACAAGAACACCCCTATATCTCATTGGATTGTATGACAGTTTTACCGTCGCGAATGTCGATGTCCGCAGTGCACCCTAGAGCATGGCAAGCGCAGAGTTGGTGATTTCCAAGTGAATAAGTTTATAATTAAAGCAGATACCGCATTCTATATTCCCCCACCCACCTGGTTCCGGTGTCAGGTAAGGGTCAAGAAGACCAGAGGAGGGATCGGGAGCATTAACTGATAGGGCTAAACAGCCGTCTGCATGTGTCAGGCACGTCTGACCCGGGCATGATGGGTAAACTTTTCACGGGAGCAAGAAAGGGGATGACTCGGATCCAAGCTGGGTGAAGTGCTATAGAGGCAGCACTTAAAAGGAGCCATTTCAGTCTGAATCTCCTTTCTGAGGGGACCGATTTATCTCGCCAGTTGGAAACCTTCCAAATCACTGCTTTCAATGCATGGCAGTAGTTTAAAAGCGGACCATATTTTTGACAGGGGAGCTGAGTGACATGGTGACGAAGCACCCAGAGCCCACCTTACTCTCCCATCCATTTCTTGGGCACATGTTCACTGTCGAAGCCAACTCCAACCAATTGATACTGCAGTTCGGCGCAGGCCTCTGTTACAACACATTAGCCCGTCTACGTGGTCCACACAGGACTTCCTTCCCACGCAAAATATATATGGAATGGATTCGACAAAGCAAAGGGAGAACGGAATGGCCAGTTCTGGCTTGTTGGCCGTCATCAGCCAGTCATACCCTGTTAGTACTGATTGAACTGCTTCTTGAATAACTTGTGGGATACGATGTGATA